GCGCGGCCGCCACCGCCGCCCCCCACGCCGGCGTGAAGGGCAGCTCGGCGGGGCCCTGGTGGAAATCGCTGACCGGCAAGAAGAAGCACAAGGAAGCAGCGGCGACCGCCCCGCCGCCCCCCGCCGCCACCACCACCGAGGCGGCCCCCGCCGCCTCCCCCAGCACCGGCGGCCGGGAGGAGCAACCCCCCCCCTTCGGCGGCGGCGAGGCCGCCGGGGCGGGCGGCAGTAACCGCCGGGGCCTCCGCATCTCCCACTCGGGCCGCTTCAAGGAGAGGAGGAAGGTGCGCACCTCCCTGCTGACCGACAGCCCCGAGGCCTTCGACGGCGGCGGTGCCTGCGGCCATGCCGCCCAAGGGGGCGAGTAGCCCGGGAGGGCTTGGCAACCGGAGCCGTGGCCCTGCGAGGACGGGTGGGCCAGAGCACCGGCAGAAAGGACAGGTGGCCCGGAGCCGGCTGCAGCCCCCCGGCCGGGGTTGGCATCGGTTTGGCCCTATGGACGACATGGAGGTGGTGGTTGGACACTGCGGGGAGCCCGGCACCTCCGCCAGAGCAGGGACTCCTGTGCTGCGTGACACGAACACTGCCAAGGCCAAACCCTTTGCTGACGGGACGATGCGATTGTCTTAACGAAATCACACCAATAAAGACCCCCCCACACTCCCTGCGCTGTGGTGAGCGGACTCAAAAGGTGCTATCCCAGGGCCAGCGCTGGGCTTCTCTCCACCTTCCCCCCCAGCCCTCCCTGGGAGCCAACGTGGCGACTTCTCAGACCCATCACCCAGCTCCCCCCGGCTCTGCGGCCGAGCAGGGGCTGTGCTGCTTTCCTCTCACGCGCTGCCTTCTCCAAGGAAGGGGGGAAACAAAGTGCTCTTCTCTAATTTTGGGGCTGAGGATCTTCAGCGGTGCTGTACCTGCTGCCCCACCATGCAGCCACCCTCCTTCCCCTGCCGGGGGTCAGAAGGGGGGTATGGTGAGGGGCAGGCGCCTGCATCGGCCCGTGCCCCACATCACGTCGCATTTAAATATGCAAAAGGCAGGACTGTGCTGGTTTTCCCCCTCTTGATGTAGCGATAAGCAGGTGTTTCGCCGGCTGGTGTCCCCTGGTTCTGTGACAGGGGGAGGCCGGTTGTCATGTGGCAATTCACACTGTTTACCCAGGGAACACATGGTTTTTGCATAATTGGTGATAACTGGCACCGTGAAGCTCCGATGAAGAAGTTGTGTGATAAAATGTAAATACTCTTTTTGGGAGAGGAGGCCAGCCCTGGAGAGCACAGGCAGGGCTGTACCCCCCTTGTGGGAATAGGCTTGGGCACCACTGGAAATGTCCTTTCCATTGTGTCCAAGGCTTGTGAAGCAAGGTTAAAGATCCCCAGGATTTCTTTTGCCAGCAGGATAATGCGCTTTACCTTGGGCGGCTCTCTGCTCCCTCTAACAACTCCTGGATTTTTTGGATAAAGTGAGCTATAAGCAAGATTTTTCCTGGTGTTGTGCCTTACAGAGCAAACGCGGCTAAAACCAGTTGGCAATTACACATTTCTTGATAGTAGGGGATGTAGCAACAAATGATTTATTTATTTTAAATGCATTTGCAATATACTTTCTATTGTTAAAATGGTTTTAGACTTTTTCTGAATGTAAGATAAGATACTACATAGCGGCAGGGACTGAAAATTATTTCCTAGCAGTCGAGTATTACACAGTTATGATTTTGTTTGGTTGTAACTAATGATTTAAGGTCAATTAAAAATAAAAAGTGACCTGAAAGGAAACACGAGCTAAAAGCTGGGTTCCAGGTGAAAATACAGATTAAAGTAGCCACTGACAATCACTGAAACGATGCCGCAGATGCCAGGCAAGTGCCCCATGCTTCAATCCCTGTAATAACAGATAATGAACTTTGAAAGCTCCTGTGCGATAAACTCGGATAACCTGGCTGGCTTCAGTACCTCCTGGTCCTTCACTCACCTGCTCCTTCAGACTCTGGAACACAAGGACAAAGGGACTGTAGCATCAAATCTATGTCCATAAAAGCTCTTTTCCACCCAATGAGGAGATGTATGGTGTTTTTTTTTATTTCATTTAGTAAAACTGCAAGGTACTGGTTTGGGGACTGCATGTTTATGTTCCTGACTACATGCTGACCAAGCAACAAGCTGGGGGTTTGTGGGGGGAGCTCTTAAACATTTCTCCTCGGAGATGCTTTTCTTATGTGGAGCGTCTTCAGTCAAAGGGCATCTGAAATCCTTCTGTTGAGAAGAAGCAGTTGGAGCAATCCCAGTCTCAGACAAAGGGGTGTGAGAGAGAAGGAGGAAAGTTTTGAAGCTGGGAACGGAGAGGTGGATGAAGAACTGTGCTTCAGCTACAGTCAGCCCAGGGTGGAGGGAAAGGTGGCAGAAAGGGGTGGCTTAGCTGCCAGGGTCGTCATGCTGCCTTTGGAAGGCAATACAGTCATATTTATTACAGGCAAAATAAGTTCTGCTTGTATTCATGTGTTTTAGGGCCCAGAGAACCTTTTTTTGTATATGTGTGTCCAAAATGGAAGAACAAGTAAGCAGATATTGCTCTGGTGCGTTTCTTACTCCTATGTCTGGTTGAGCTGGGCCCTGTGAGGGTCAGAGCCTCAGAAGGGTCCAGAGGCCTGGCCCTGCAGGCGGGTCTTTTATACATCTCATGCAGATGCTTCCCTGCATTTTTAATCCTGACACTGTTGTGAAAATACAGTTTCCTCCCTTTAGTACCTCCAAGCTACCTCTTTTTACACTGAACCTCTGTTTGCTCTTTGGAAAGACAAAGAGCAAACCTCTTTGTCTCAGGGTTATTAGTTGCAAGCCTTGACCTAGGCACAAGATACCTATGAATTCAGGGTTTATTAGTGAAGAAGCCGGGTACACTGTTCAGATGGCTGCTGTTAAGATCCGGTATCAATGCTGGTTAATGTGTGACTAAATATTAGCCGTGTCCTAATCCCTGTGAATGGTGCTTTCAGCCTGGAAATTTGGTCAGAACATAAAGTCAATAAATGCACATAAAATTACTCGCTCACAGCCATCCTCCATCTTTATCCTGACCTTGAGCTGTGGGAAGGAGACGTAATTCTATCTTCCTGCTCAGTCAAATCCTTGCTTCAATGAATTCGATAGCAGCCACTGAAAAACTAGATCCATGAGAAAACGGGCTGCCTGGCTTGTCTCACTTTCCCCGCCCTCTGTGCAAGGGCCACGCAGCCATACCTTGAGGTTGGTGCTGGCCTCTGTACCACGGCCAGGAGGGAGAACCTCCCTTTGCCATAACCAACTTGCAGGGCACAAATAGGCACCTTGTTTCTCAGTCTGAGCACCAGATAAAGCTTTAAATCATCTATATGCACAGAAATGAATTAAGCTGATGTAGAGAAAAAGACGGCATTTTATAGAGTATCTGGATTTTTTGACCCTTGAAGTGAACAATTGTCAAGTTTTCTTTTGCATTGGAGAATATTTGCTCAGTTGTAACAGTAGTGCATTTCTGCGCGTTGAATTATTAAAAGGCTGTCGTCATTCTTAATATAGGTATTTTCCTCTTCTCCTTTATAAAGATAATGTATCAGAAAGTAGGTTTAGGAAGTGGGGTGGCTGAGAAAGCGGTTGCTGTTTGTTTTTTAAAAGCCAGCAGTGAGTTACTGACAAAATAAATTGAAATAAGCAGCTGAGGTTCCACCTCAGCTGTGTCAGTTGTAGTGTGATTTTCTTAATATTATTCCAAATACTGCTAAGGATTGCAGGTTTGGGGCAAAAATAAATATTTAGTAAATAGAGTGAACTTTTCAAATAAACTTGCAAAATATATGCCTGCTTATTCTTGCTCTCGCCAAAACTAAAAATAAATCTCTGAGTAGCTGTCTGGTGAATCATTCCCTGCTATTGTAGGCTGGTCAGTCTGGACCTCAACAAAGATTATAGGGAGCACCTGCAGAAAATTATCCTAAATTGGAAACACTGGAGTAAATGCCTTGAAAGCCTCAAGAGTTTTAACCTCAGACGTCAGGTCAGGGTAAGACTTAAATTGAACTGAAAAAATAGAGAGGGGGACTTCACAGTTTTAGTTCTGTTTTCACTGAATGATAATTTTATATTTGAAATACCAAGCCTCTTGTCCATTAACGAGGTAACCTCATACAAGGGCTAAAATCTGAAGGACAGAACTCCCATCCTTGGCCTGGCTGGTGCAGCTGGATGCTTCACCTTAAGGCCCATGTTTAATTTAGCTTGTTCAAACGCCTGGAAGAAAAGCTGTTTCGAGTGTGGGTACAACTGGAAGTTCATTTTGCTGCCTTTTGGGATCCTATCTGGTAAGGCAAAAGAAAGAAACCCAAACCTGGTATTTTCTAAGATGCCTTTTAAAAGCTGAGGTGAGAGAGGTTTGGTTATAGAATGATATTTGAGACCATATAATTACACCATTTTGAAAAACAAATTTTTCCCCTTCATCACTAATTTATTGTAAATAAGATGGGAGACTTGCTGGCTGTGATTTTTTCATTTCAGAATAAAACAAAAGGGATAAAGTTGCTCAATTTTATAGACACCAGGAGTAGTGAACTAGTTTCTCTTTAACTGTTTCATCCTTAATGATGCGTCTGAAATTCACAAGTAGCTCTGAGAAACAATATTTGGATGTAGTCTTCAGCTAAAGCATGTTGATTAGTAACTGCAGCTTACGAATTTGATTTACTGCTCATTTTATCTAGATAAAGCAATATAACATCAGGTAATACGTGTTTGGGGGATAGAAAACAGCTTTCCATGATAGCTGTAAGGCATGATTTTAAATGAAAAATTTACTCTGGTGAGTAATCCTCATCAGATCGAGATGCCGTGTTTCATGTGAGTAAAAATGAGTTAGAAAGGTTTTTTCGGGGTATTATTAGTTACCAGGCTATCAGTTGTTTTGGGATGTGTGAAGTAGGCTTGATTCTCAGATGCAAGCCTTTATGTGCCATGAATCTGCTGCTGCTTGTTTGGAATACCTCAGGTCTTTCCCCTGATCTGAAGTTATCATTTATCGTGGTAGCTGCTTTTACACTAAAGAAATACAAAGCGTGATCCTTTGCATTCCTGAAAATAAGAACCATACCTATGTATGTCTGTTGAAATGAAAAATTAGAGGTACTGTGCATCCTTAAACTTTGGTGTCTCGCTTCTTTTTTTCTTTTCCCTGCAGACTTCAGTCCATTTTGCTTTCCAGATCTTTGTTTTATCCTCAGCCTGTAAATATTTGAGATAAACTGTCCATTGATCGCACTAGAACTGTTCAGTGACAGGAGAGTGGGCACCACTTCAGTGGCCAAGGAAAAAGTTCTAATAGATCCATTTCTGCATGTGCTTCTGGGCACATTCCCTTTCTGTTTTATGAACAGGAGCAGAACTGAGCCTTAGTCTTGACTCTGGAAATTCAACTACCTGAGAAACAGAAGGAGCCTCGTAGTCTGCACATCCTTGGTTGTGTTTATCTTTGCATGCACTTGCAGTGACAGAAGTTTCCAAAAAATCAGAGATGGTTTACCTGTCCTGTTTAACATCACTGGGTTTGGGACAAGCAACACAGTGTAAACTTAAAAGAGAAATTCTGCCAGCAGTACTTCCTAGAAATGCTGTAGCTCAGAACTCTGTGAGGAACGGGAAGAGGAGAAAAAAAGTATTTTCTGGCTACTCTATTTTGGGGTTCTTTTCTTGGCATACCAGTGCTATAGCAACCTCCTTGCTGGACCCTAAAGCAGCTCGAGAAGTAGAATTTATGAGATGGGCAGAGGTAGAGAACATACAAGGACAGCATTTTGTACTGGCATTCTCTTCAGGAAGAGACAAACCAATGACTGCACATTACACTGGGCATCTAAAGGTAGTTTCATTCTTTCTGCAAGGCTGGGAAGCTATGGATTGTTCCTGGCTCAGTTCTCAACTGGCCAACAGTAGATATGAAAATGCCTCTAAGTTATATATCAGCTATCGCAGGTGTTAATTAACATCTGCTGAATTGCATGTGAAATGGAAAACGGTGAGAAACTGAGGAATCACAAACAGCAAACGTTGCTGACTGTGATGGAAAGCAGCTTTGGAAAGCTGAGACCCCATTTGAAATGCTCAGTTGAAGCACTTAAAATATTTTCTGTTATTGTTATAGACAGCTATTCTCCCTTAATTGGTATGTTTTTATTTTTCTGCTATAATAATTTACTACACAGTTATCTTTTTAATGAGTAATCTTATTTACCACATATTACCTCTCTAGTTTTACTTACTGGTTTTCTCTTTTTTGTACTGGAACAGAAATTTGGCTGGGCTTGTCTCTTGCAAAACATACTCACAAAGTCTGAAGGTATTCCTATGACCTATGCCTAAACCTAAACTCAAATTAATAACAATACCTTGCAGTTGTGGAGAGCTCTGGAGGAGTGAGCTCACTGCTGAAGACTGATCCTTTCATCTTCCTGAAAAAAACCATGCATCCTCCCTACTTTAAAGAAAGGAAATTCAAGATAAAGGGCTACAGTAAAGCTCATAATTAAGTACCTGAACGGAATGATGCATCTGGGCTAAGACCAGAAATCAGGCTACGTGGAAACTGCCCAAGAAAACCGAGCTGTAGTAAGTGGTAGCAAAAGGTTCAAATGGGCTTTTAAAAGTTTTTGATCCCTGAGAGGAACCTTTGGATATGTGGGAGTTTTAGCATCACTTAAACCTACACGTCATCACACAGCTGCCTCCAGGACAGTTACTGATGCTGAGCATTGAAAACTATGGCCAGGACTTTAACGAGGACCACAGAGACAGGCAGAAGTGGACTCGTATTTGTAGCATTGGCATCCCACTGGTAGACATAGGAAAAATGATTTAGTTATAACAGATGTGTATTTAAATTGGTGTGGTTGATTATGTGTCTCCAGATTCCCAGCGTGGTCAAATGGTCCCATTGACAAAAGCATTGAGGTGTCTGATTCCACTTGCTTCAATGGTGTCTCAGTACCTTTGTGGATTTAAGCTTCAGTATAACCTCTTAGAAACTATCGACATCATGATAAGATGAGGAAGTTAAAAAGGTAAAATTCTGGTTTATTTACTAAGGAAAATAGAGTTAACAATGCAAAAGAACTGCCTAATAACACATGTATTTTTTATCCTGTATTTTCAGCTCTTTGTGCTGAAGCAGTATAGCTCCTTTCTACCCCCCTCCCCAGTATATTCTTGCTTTCCAGCTGCTATTTGATCTTTTCCAGCCTTGACTCAAAATTATTCCTTACAGAACCTCTCAGTGAGATGGTTTCAGCTTGGCCCCGTGTAGCATTTCGGCAGAGCCATTGTTCTTTTGTCCCCTGCCTCTAGATCAGCTTTGGCGGCTAAACAGCTTCTTTATAAACCCCAATGAAATCTTCTCCTGCGCTTTTTGTCTGCCTTGAGAACGAGAGCAAAGGTTGAAGATAGTTTTAAATCCTGAGGTGTGTGGAGCCCGTCTCCCCCCCCTCCCCACGTTTCGGTGTTAGTTACTGCTTTGGCCTTTACCTGTTTGGCTCTGCCAGCCAGGATGGGGCACACCCTCACCCTGCACAATACAAACCCATTTAATTAAGAGCTATTCAGGCTTCTTTTTTTTTAAAATGTTTGCTTCAACAAATGCCCGTGTCAAGCAGCAGTCATACGACACCTTTCCAAACCCTGCAATCCAGAGCAGTAACCAGCAATACAATTTTAACTTGCTTTTGGGTCTCAATTGTCGCTGCAAGGATCTGCAGCTTGTTCCCAAGGCTGGGGAAAGGTCAGTTGCCAAAGCTTTGCTGGTCTTTTCTGGCATTTACATGCTGTATAATGGCTTCTAGAAGTGATACCAAGAAGTATCTTCTATTTGGGGAGAGGAAAAAACAGCCATACAAATCAGGCTTCTTGAGATTGGGTACTTATTCATGTGAATGCCCAATGTGCACTAACAAATGGGGCATTTTCAGGACACGTGTGACACCCAGCTTTTGGTATCTGCGCGTA